ACAAGCCAGGACAAAACCCCAAGGAATCAGGGGGGCTGGAGAGCAGCATGCATTCTTAAACCAAGACAGCTCCACTGTCTCAAAAACTCTGCCCTTGCACCGTGCTGCTGGGAACTGAAGGAACATCATTTCCCTTCCCATCACTGCAGACGCAGCACTCCCTAATTTTGTATTACTTTGGGGGCTGGCGAGGTGAGGTGGCTCAGGGGTTACAAGCCCTTGTTCTTCCAGAGGACCCAGGTTTGATTCCCGACACCCACACAGTGGCTGTGTCATCTGCCCCACCCAGCCTTCATGGGCATTACACACCTACCAGTATATACACTGGCAAAAACACTTGTACAAATAAATCATTTAAAAATTAAAAATATTACTTTGTTAATAACACTCAGTTCTCATTACCATGTGATTACTTCTACTTGGAAGCATATAAACTCAAAAGAAACCTGAAGAATACAAGGGAGTCTGACTTAGCGGCACACACCTTTAATCCCAGTGCTTGGGGAAGAGGCAGACCCATGGCTGAGTTCAAGGCCAGCCTGGTCTACAGGAGACCTTGTCTCAAAAAAACCAAAAATAAAGTAGGGAAGAGATGGTGAGATAGGAGTGTCCGAAATGCAGCTGTGGGTAGACCAGAACTGGACAGGGCAAGGAGCACTCTTCTTGAAGGGAGGATTCTTGTCTCTACAACCTGCTTTCCTGGTAAAGCCCATTCCAATACAGGCACTGCAGCTGCTAACAGTACCCGATGCTCTCAGCATCCCAGCAGCTGGGTAAAGCTGTGACAGTTGCAGCTAGTAGAACAGCACCTTTAATTCCAACTAGGAGACAGACAGCAAGACCACCAGCCTTGTCTACAGAGGCCTGGTCTCAAATACCAGCACTTTTACTAATGCTCCCTTCCCAACTGCTGCCACAAAAGGCCTTTTCTCTTCCAACTTCAAATCAAATACCAGCTTATCTGACAAGATTAGCAATATCCTCATTTAGCAACTAAGAAACTTACTCTATTTCCTTGTACAGACAAAAACACGTAGACCTCTGGAGTTATTGTTAGATACATAACTAGGGAGTTCATTATCTTGACCATTAAGGCAGTACCTCACTGGAGTGACAGGCTTGGTACCTCAGGATGGTCTTAACTGGCATGGTAGGAATAGATAGGACAACACCCATGGTACACCTTGACATCCTGGACCAGTAACCTCAATGGCTGAACAGATCTCTAGGCTCTGGCTCCCATGACTGCAGAGCACCCTGGCCCTGCAGAACTAAGCATCTCTAAGCCCACCCTCAGCTATGAATACCTACCTCTAGAGATTAAGGAAACGCACATGTACATAGCACACACAAAGCCCTGACTGAGGGTGACGTAGAGAAATTGCTGGGCTGGGAATGTACCTCAGTAGCAGAGCCGTTGTAGAGCTGGGAGTGGGGATGATGACCTCGGAGAACTTGTTTGGAAAGAGGATCTTTTCTGGACACATTGTCTACAGCCTATGGATAATATCATTAAGCAACTGAAAAACAGACTTGAACCCCCTGCAAGGTAGAGACAGGCTGTGGGCAGGAACTGTCCAGATGAACAGATGGTTGTTTAGAGATACCATGCATCAGCTAAACCAAGGTCACAAGGGGTATCTTACTGCAGGTCAGAGTTGAGCTTTATAGCTTAAGGACTGTATGAAAGCCACATGTGCTAGTATCACCAGGAGGGGGCTAGTGGTGGGGGATGATCTGAGGTGGACGGAGTTCTGATCTTACATAACCCTCTGCAGAAGGAAAGTTAAGATCAATTTCAAAGGCTGAAGGTACGAAAACATGAAAAAAATAAGATTAAGGGGGGAGGGGACACCAAAAATCTCATCACAGACCTTCCGCATTCCTTGCTAGGCCCTTCAATCTGCCACCTGGTGGCACGCCAGGCAAATCAAATCCTCAAGCTTCTACTGCTTGTGTAGGGACTGATGTCCCTCCACTCCCAGTGTGGTGATTTGAATGACCTCCACAGCTTTCAGACTGCTGCCTGCCCAAACCAGTTACTCTCACTGCTGGGACTGTTGTAGCTGCTTTGGATTATCCATGCCCAACAACAACCCATCTACCTCAACTTCACTATTTTGTGATGGAGTCTATGTTGCCAAGGCTGGTCTCCAAGTTAGGTTCAAGTGTACCTGGGACTACAGATGCTAGCTCTTCATCAAATGGTAACTATTACCTGTCTCCTAGCTCACCATCAGCCCAGAGTATGTTGGTGAGTAGTTTTAATATAGGTTGCCGTGATCAACTATTCAACATCTATGTTGATTTGGGAGACGCTGCCTCAACTCCTCTGCCTAACTTCAGATACCAAACAGAGGTTAAGACTTACCTCATAGGAGTCACATGGTGACCAAATACAGTTGTTTTGGGACTAGTGCTTGGCACAAGCTAAGCTACCAGTGTTTGAGCAAGCCATGTCCTTATGCACTGAACTTGGCTGCAATGCTCTGGCCTTTTGGATAAGCAATCCCACTCTTGCTTCATCATCACCTGCATTTAGTTAAGTTATCCTCGATAACCATTTCTAAAAAAAAAAAACAAGAACTTGTGCATCATTCCACTACTACATTACCAAAGGAATCTAATGCTACCCCCTCCCTTTCCTCTGAGAGCAAGTTGTCAGTGCTAGAGACTGGGTAGTGGGATGCTGCAGCTTCAACCAGGGGAGTAACCGCAAGCCCATGTGCAAGTGCAACCTGCGGGGACATCTCAGCTTAGCTTTCCCTCCTCCCCCTTCCTCCTTGTGACCACAGCTGCCCTCACTGGGTTAGTCTGCACAAGACTATTTTACCACCACTAGCTCTGGTCCTTGTCCTGCGAGTTTTCTAACCCAAGTGGTTCAAGAAATCTCCCAAGACCAGGAAGGCAGGACTGAGGTGTATGAAGTGGTGCAGTTTTATAGGAGCAGGTTTACCTCCCACTGCTGGGAATCGAACAGAACCTTGTGACTGAGCCACTTATCTGTGAGGCAATCAGTATAATTTTCCAACTGATAGAAGGTGATTTTAATACTACTGTATTCTGACACTGAGCAGCAGTTCCAGAGATAAGGCTTGGTCTTGGCATCTCCATAGCTTGTAGGCATGCAGACCAGTCTTAAAAATCTTACCCCAAAGAACCCTATAAATGTATTAAATAATCCACCACAGGAAACCTTCAATTAGCAATTATCAACGAAAGCAGCAAAAAACAAAAACAAATGACCCAACAGGAGGGAGCCATATCAGCAATGGTGCACGGGGCCCAACGACATAAGTCCATAATGCTCTGAGCTCACTGCTAACCTAAGACCCTTGACTATGTTAGGAATGCTTGGCTACCAAGATGGAATTCAACCCAACTCCTGGGTTACTCCACTGACAAACCCAAATCCCCAACAAAGCAGAGTGGGTCTGGAGTGCCTTCCCTAGGTGCCACCTGTGAGGGTGAGCGAGGTCCGCTCTCTCCGAGCACTTTTCTCTGTTCAATTTTTAAGGCTTTCAACATTTTAACTGAGGCCAACCAACCTTTTCCTAGTTAAAAAAATCAAAGTCTAGCTGGGCCTTTAATCCCAGCACTTGGGAGGCAGAGGCAGGCGGATCTCTGTGAGTTCAAGGCCAGCCTGGTCTACATAGTTGAGTTTCAGGACAACTGGGGCTACAGGGAGACGCAGATGTCTCAAAGACCAAAAAAAAAAAAAAGTCCAGGAGCAGAGAAGGAAATTAAGATACCAGTTACTTCCTCCCACTTCATCTGAGTCCCAGCCATTTAAAATTTAAGCACACTGTCCAGTCCTGTACCAAAGAAAAATCTGTCACTACCCAAGCAGCTCCTTTTTCTGAACTCTTCAAAAGGGGACCCAGAGCATCCTTATTAACTTTAACTCATTAGGCAAAGAGCCAAAGGGCTTCCTCCCCCATTCAAGGTGGGCCACAGTAACATTACTCTTCTGCCTCACCATTTCAGCTTTTGTAAACTGTTCCCCTGGACTAAGCCTATCTTCTGAAGATGGGAAGGTGCAGTTATTACTGCATCATTGCATGGCAGGGCATGTCCTCTGTTCTCTCTTCACTGTACTCAGGGGCTCTGGGCTTCCTAAGCACTTCCATTCAGGTTTCTTACCATGGTCTACCACAGGGAGCCAACACCCCACTTGCGTCAAACCCATCTAGCTCCTGAACTCTATGTATCTAGGATCTGCTTGGCCGGCCGGCCGGCCACCTGACCAGCCACTCTCCCCCATCCCTTTTCAGGTCAGTTGTTTGGGTTATTTACTGTGTATTCTTCACACACAGTAACCAGAGAAAACTGTACTGCCTACCTCATCTTTAAACCCTCGATTAGGGCATGAATGAGTCAGGTTTGCTGCTTCTCCATCTACACCAGATCAGGTAAGATTGAGTTATTTTACAAGTTTACCAATTTTAAAGGGTGATGCCATTTACTGTAACACATCAACAGCTTATTTAAAAATGCAGACAGGGCTGGGCGTGATGGTGCACGCCTTTAATCCCATCACTTGGGAGGCAGAGGCAGGAGGATCTCTGTGAGTTCAAGTCCAGCCTGGTCTACGTAGTGAGTTTCAGGACAGCTGGGGCTACAGGGAGACCATCTCAAAAAGACCCAAAAAAAGTGTAACTCCAGTCCCAGGGGATCAGACAGCCTCTTCTGACCCCCGTGGGCACTGCACAACATGGGTACACTTACCTACATGCAGGGAATACACATACACATAAAAAAGAAAAAAAAGAAAAAAAAGACAACCCAGATGGAGGAAGTGACTCAGTTGGTTTGTGTCCTTGTCTAGCATGCTCAAAGCTGAGGGATAGCACAACTGCAGTGCAGCACCCCCAGCACCTCCAAATCCCAGATCCCTCACAGGTAAAGAACCCTTCCACCACCTCACCCCCTGACAGAAAAAAAATACCAGTTCTTTTGAAGCACACTATGCACTAACAAATCTCACTATGATAACTAACTCAAAACTTGAATAGTATCTTCTTTATTTACAAGTTAGAATCAAGAGACAAAGAAAAGACAGTCCAGGGATCAAATGGGGAGGTGACTGAAATCCCCAAATGTAACAGAAGGAATAAGAAGGAAAGTGTAGAAAAAAAAGGTCAATGTAAAAAAAGAGCTCCCCTTCTTCCCTCCCCACAGAAGCTGAGGGGAGGACCACGGTGCCACCCTACAGCCTTACCTAGCTTAAATAAATTAAAACGAACAACCTCAAAACAAGGCCCTTGGAAGGGAAGAGGGCAGCTAGGGCCTCAGGTAGCCTTGTGCCCACTCCCACCAGTCAGTCCCCTTGCCCCAACCCTTCATCCTCAATGGGGGCTCTGTGCCCAAGAAGTCATTCCCAGTAGGGATGGGAATTCAATCTTATTTTGTCCATGTCCTTCCTTCAGTAAACGTCCCTCCTTCCTCCCCCCTGCAGAGCCAGCTCTCCTATGGAGGGGGTGAGATGAAGAAGTGTCACAGCAAGGGGAAGCGGTGGGGCAGGGGGTACAGGGGGTCCGGTCCTGCGGAGCCTTCCTGCCCCTCTGGCCTGGCCCCTTAGCCCGAGTCAGAGTCACTGGTGTCTGAAGAGGATGAGGAGGAGGAGGAGGAGCTGGAATCTGAGCTGGAGCTGGAAGCGCTGAGTCGTGACACTGCTACTTGCTGTGCGGATGACGACTCTGTTTTCTCACTCGCTGTAGAACAAAGGTAAAGATGTCAAGTCTACACCTTCACTTGTTAAAATAGTGAGCTGGTATGTAGCTCAGCAGAATACTGCTCAGCACACACATGAAGCTCTGGGTTCAATCCCCAGTAGTGCATCTGAAAAGTAGAAGAATGTTAGAGAAGACTAACTTCCAGCAGTCAGAAACTCACCTTTCTTAGGAGGCTTTTTGGTGGAATTAAGCTGTCCACTGACGTCTTGTAGCCGCTTTTCTAGTTCCCGTTTCTTCTCCAAGGCTAGCTCCTCCTTTGTCTTTCCCACAGGTTTCTTAATAGCTACAGGGAAAATGTAAACAGGAGTCACTGACTGAGAGCTACCATCCTGGGGCCCTCTATGCTATGCTCAGGGCTGTGAGGAGCAGAACACCTGCTGGGTCTTGTCTGACACTTACTGTAGGGTTTCCGAGGTTTCTTTCGCAGGCAGGATAGGACGTAGCGCTCTAGCTCTCTCAGTGTGGACGGCTTGAGCGTTTCAAAATCAATCTCAATTTCTTCTGGATTTGAGTCACGGAGTGAGGGCTCGCGGGCTTGGATGATATGCACCACTCGACCTAGCTTCTCCCCAGGCAGTTTATTGATGTCCAGGCTCAGCTGCCTCTTCTCATCGTAACTCATGGGCCTGCTCTCTTCTTCTTCCTCAGAATCAAAACCAGCAGGCAGGACAGGTGGGGCTGCCTTTGAGGCCTTTTTGGGCAGCCTATGGGCAACAAAGTCGTCAATGGCATACTTGTCTCCCAGTGTTCACCTCAGTAACTCTGACTCTTGCCTGGAATCGTCTAAGGAACAAATCTGGAAAGCTGTGCCACTATAGAAATGAATTTTACTGGAACACCCACATGGTTGACAGTTCCCTACAGCTGCTTCTGCAAGGTGGATTACCTGGGAAAATATGGCCCTTAAAAATGTTACTTGGTCCTTTAGAAAGTCTGCCAACCCCTGAGGATGGCATCCCTGGAGAGGGATGTGGTATCTGCTTCCCATCTTCATAAAGTTCCTCTGTTACACGTCAGCCTGGGCCAGAGGTCCCGTCCTCAGAAAATACTCACTTGCTGTTACTTCCTCCAGGAGGTCCAAAACCAGGAGGGCCCAGCGCAGCAGCACCGCCAGCCGCACCGCCACTAGCTTTCTTTGATTTCTTGGACTGAGGTGGACGAGGTGCCCGAGGCCCCTTGTCATCCTCATCCATCCCAACTCGGCCCCGGTGTTTCTCTGCTTTCCGCTTCTTCTTTTTCTCCTTTTTGTCTCTCTTCCGCTTGGGCTTAGATATCGGGCCCTGGGACAGAGCAGCCAGCTGTTCATGTACTGCCCGCAGCTACACCAGAAAGCCAAAGTGAGGAAAGTCAATTAAGACCAAGAAAAAACAGTGCTAACACAGGGCGTGAACCTCTTACACAGCCAAGATGAAGCCCGAAGTACCTGTTCTTGTAGTTCTGCCAGGCGATGAGCTCGCTCTTCCTCAGAATCTGAGCTCTCACTCTCTTCCTCCTCATCTTCCTCGTCATCCTCCTCTTCCTCAGAGGAGCTCTCACTGCTACTTTCCTCACTGGAGGATTCTGAAGATGACTTGGCCAGCCCAGGGGGCAAGGCAGTAGAAACTGGCAAAGGCCCTGGTTCCAGTGGCTCATCTGGCATCTTGGCATAACGGAACTCAAACACATCCTAGAAACAGAGGTGGACTCAGAACTATCTAGTTACCCAGCACGACAGCTCTAAGACTGGGGAGATTCTCATGCTAGGGATGCAGAGCACAAGTAACAAAACTCCTTTTAGTCAGTCACTCAACTGTTTTAACTCACCTGCAACTTCCGGGCCATGGCCACAACATCGTGGTCTGGGGGATTGTACTTATAGCAGTTGGAAAACATAAGCCGCACATCAGCAGCAAACTCCTGTGCATCTCGGTAATCACGATTCTCCATCTTTCGCTGCAGAAGGAAGCAGCGTCAGAAGCTGCACAGGCAGAGACTCACCGTTCCCTGCCAACCCCAGTACAACAGGAGCCCTCTCTTGAAAGCATAGTGGGGTGACCTTAGGGATCTGTGCCCTGGGGTTCAAGTCTGAAGTCAAAGGATTTGGGGTGGGTTTGAAGTGGTATCTACGTCTAGAAAAGGAAATCATTTCTAAGTGACGGGAATAGCCTAGATCACTTGTTTCCTAACACTCTTAGCAATACTGAAGAAACCTCACCTTTACAGTACAAAAAATGGACTTCAACAAAGCATTTAAGTTTGTAAAAGCAAGACACTAAGAATGAAAGGCTGCTGTGTGCTGAAAGGAGGCATGAGCATTGTTTTATTGATTCCTAGGCTCCAATCACTGTCTGAACAGCCCATCTGCCCCATGCAGTGGGTACCTTGACAGTGCTGAGGTCCATGGGGTGTTTAATGATGTCATGGTAATCATGAAGGCCCAGAGCAGAAGCATCCACGGGTTTGTAGAAAGGCCAGGCATAGGCAGCATGCTTCTTAGAGAGTAACTCCTTCAAAATGCCATTGCAATGTTTCAACTGTTCTGACAGCTTTCCTTTCTTAGAGCTCTGGTGCTGTTGCTGAGAGTCGGGCAAGTCTTTCCGTGGGGGCTTGATGGGACGGCCGCTCTCTCTACGCACAGGAGGAAGCCGTGCTGCCTTTGGGTCAAGACTCCCAGGAGGGCTAGCTGGGGAACCAGGGGCTAGGATGGCTGTAGGTGTAGGAGTAGTAGTATCTGCTTTCCGCTTGACACCTTTTTTCTACAGAAAGGAGGGGGGGAAAACCCCGGCCCATTATCCCAAGTCCAATTCACCCCAAACCTTTCCATCCCCATCCCCACAAACCAATCTCCTGATGTATACCTTGGCAAGGGGCTGAACTGGAGGAGCTGCTGAGACAGCAAGAAGTGGGGGTCCAGCAGAATGCAGGGATTTAAGAAGGGGAGAAGAGATGACGGATGGATGAGGAATGTTGAGGACAGTGGTAGGTATCTCAGGAGGTGGCGTGTACAGGGCTGTGTGTGACACAGAAGAAACGGCAGGCACCTGATGGGCACTGGTGATGTTGCCCTGGAGTGCTTAGAAAGAAAAAGAATTTCAGTTTGGTCTTACTCTCTTCTGCAGTTAGGTAAGGTCATCTGAACACCCCCACCCCCGCCTTCCTACCTGCCAACTTGGCCCCCTTCTTATGGCTGTTCTTAGGGATGGTCACCACAAGCTCCTGCTCTTCTTGGGGCATTGATGCCACTTTCTGTAGGAAGATCTTTTCCAGTGTTTGTGCCATTAGAACAATGTCATCAGTGGGCTGATGGGAATATAAGCTCGGAGTTAACACCATCTCCCTGAGAATTCCCACCCTACAGCAGCACACCCACCCCTCAATTCCGATCACCAAGTGCTTAAGGTCACATATCTCCCTCCCCCAACCCATCCCCAAATACAACAAACAGCACAGCAGAGGAGTTAAATGGAGTCTATTCTTTTCAGGTCTCTAGAGCGTTCTGAGAAATAGGGCCACCATCCCCAGTATGAAATGTGTTCTACTTAAGTAAACTTTTAATTATAGAGCACTGGAGACTTATCTCTCTGTTCAATAGCACCATTCCGAGGTCAGGCTCTTAGACCTTGACATCTTCAGTGGTCAAAGACTTGTGTAACCAGAACCAGGGTTAAACAAGTGCTGCCTTTTGCCACCTGCTAAACACTGAAGAAAACTTACCTTGTTATAAATGTAACAGTTGGTGAACATTGTATTGAAATCCTGCATACATTCTGAGGCCGCCCAGTAGTAACTGTTTTCAAGTCTCCTTTTGATGGTGCCCATGTCCATAGGCTGTTTTATGATTTTGTGATAATCCTGGAGAGAAACGCTAGGTCAGAGCCACAGGAATCACCTGTTCTAGGGAAACTACCCACCACAGACCAATACATACGCCCACACGCATACCCTATGCTTGTTCCCCACACTGCGGCCCCCGTTAACCCAAAAGAAAAATAAGAAGAGAATTCAGGGTGTGTGTGTCTTTGAGACAGGGTCTTCCTGTAGCCACGGCTAGTCTGGATTCGCTATGGAGACCAGGCTGCCTCTGCCTGAGTGCTGGGATGAGAAGTGTGCATCTATGCCTCTATGCAACCATGCCGGGCCAGGAATAGGGTTCTTAATACCCACTAAGAGGCCCCTACTACCTTTCTCTAAACCACCCACCTCCCACCCACTCTGGCATCTTCCCATCCTGTGACATTACCTCTGGGAATGGCTATCCATGGGCTGCATGAGGGAAAGGAAGAAGCTAAGAATTTTGGCCACCGTGGTCCTCTCCCAACAAGGGGTGGGAATCTGTAAAATGGAGCCAGGGCACAAAAGTTAAGGACACATGGAGGGCACAAGGAGATGCCAAGATAGAGATGGAACAATCACAGGACCATGAGTCCACGACTGGTGGCCATTTGCCCTGCAGAGAATGTCAATACCCTAGGGGCCGCAGCACCTATCTTAGCCCACCTGACTCACACTCGCACATCCCTATCCCGCCCCGACCAGGGTCTCTACTCACCGGCAGACCCAGTTTCACAGCATCTACAGGCTGCCGGAATGGCCATGCAAACTGATGTTTCCACAAGGCTTTCATCACGACCTTGTGCAAGTACTGCAGCTGGTTGGTGACCCGTCCTGGCTTTTTGGGATTGGACACCTCAGGGGGTGGAGGGTTGGCAGGGGTCAGTTGCAAAGCTGGTACAGAAGCCATTGTGGGGCTCTCAAATCCCTCGTACAACAGAGAAGGTTTCCGAATCCTCTTCCCCGGCGCTGCTGCCTCTGGGCCCAGTCCCAGTAACCCTGCATTCCCCTCCCCAGGGAGCCTGCAAAAACAGGAAGCAAAATGAGCTATGCTGACCGCGACACTCCAGTGTTCATTGCTAGGTCTATGCAACCCAATCAAGGCAAACTCTGAAGTACTGTACTGAGTATCATGCCAGGTCTCCACGGGAGCTAGACCGAGTGTCCTACTGGATCCTACCCACCTCCTATTAGGTCTGACACTGCAGAGTCTGGTGGGCTGCTCATTTAAAATACATACAAAAACCTCTAAGTGTCACGTGGCAACAGTCCTATGGGAAGAAATTTTAAGCAAAATGGGCGGAGCTGAGAAAAGTGAAGGTTCTCACTAGGGACTTGGCGGTTGCCATGGTGGCCGTGACTGAGAAGCCGGTGAGAGAGCCAAGAAACGGGAGAAAAACTTCCTAAGCACCGATTCGACACCAAAGAAATCCAGCTCGGAATTCCCCCGTAAGCTCAGCTGAGCGGAGCCACACACAAGTGCCCTAAACCCAACCCAGAACCCTGAGTCAACCGACGCACACACGGGAAGGCCGCTCACTCCCCACCAACAGCCAGTCCCTGAAAACCGGCAAAAAAGCCTGGAGCCAGAGCTGCCCACGTCAAGGTCACTACCGGCCGCGGACACACGACCAAGCCCTACACCGACCGGCCTGTGTTTACATCCGCAACCGGCGCGGCTCCGCCCCCCCCCCCCCCGTGCAGCCCCCCGCAGTCGGCCTTGTACGCCGACCCTCCAGGCCAGCCTGGGAAGCCCCGCCGCCAGGCCCGAAGCTATCGCCATGGCAACGCTACGCCAGCCCACAAGCGGCGACCCCCGGCCAGGCCACCCCGCCGCTGGGCCCCGAGGCTGCAAGGATGGAAACGGCCCACCTGCCTGCGACGCAGTCTGGGGCCGAGGCCACCGCTCCAAAAACGGTCGCAGCGCGCTCGCGAGCGCCAGCAGCTGCGCGCCCGCCCGCCGCCCCTCCCGCTGCGCCCGGACCTACTTGTGGGGCGTCACGTTCTGCAGCATCTTGAGGGACGCCCGCGCTGCTCAGCCGCGGCAGGTCCGGGTGGCCTCGGCTCCGCGCGTCGCCGGGCCCCGCATACCCCGGGACGTGCAGGGAGGCCGCGGCCCTCGGCGCCTCCGGCGACCTCCCTCCGGGCCGGCGCAAATGCGGTCTCCTGCGCCGCCCGCGGCCCAACTCCGGCAGCTTGGTACGCTCCGCGAGCGGAAACCGCAGGAAGATAGCGGCGACCGAGGCCGGCCGGCGCGCCGAGACGCGATGGTCGCCGGCCCGGACAGCGTCGTCCAAGCGGCCGCTGGACGCGCAGCGGGGGCCGGCTCCTCCGAGGTCCTCCTTCGCCCTCCGATGACGGTAGATGAACACCCAGAGAGGTTTCAGGGAGCCGCCGCCTCCATCTTTAAAATCCTCTTGAGGGTGGAGTAGAGGAGTGGACAGACTCCGCGAACTGGGCGGAGCCCGGGAAAGGGGCGCTCCGGGGGCTTCTAGGGGGTCTGCGCTGTCCACGGGGGCCGGTCCCGAGCAGACTCGAAGGCCATTTCCAAGCAGATGGACGCGGATTGTAATGGCGGCCTCAGAAGACACGAAGGCGCCGGATTGCCGGGCAGAACCCTCCAGCCCGTCCTAGACGCTGCTCCACTCCAGCGCGAAATGGCGCCGCCGAGCGCCGCGCCAGCCCTTTATATATAGCCGGAGAGGCGGGGCTTCGCCGCTCATGCGCGCCACCCCGGTCGCGCTTGCCCCGCCCCCTCAGCGCGCGCCCGCTCGCTCACGCGCGTGCCGGAGCCAGACCCCAGCGGAAGGAACGCCTCTTCGCGGGAGCCACTCCTATTGGTCCGCTGTAGCAGTGACGTCACAGGCCCCAATTCCAAGGCGTCGGTCGCCGGGCAGAAGAGTGCCGCAGAGGCCCATGGCGAACAGGCCGCCCGCCATGTAATGGCGACAATTGACGATGGTGGGGCGACTCCGGGGCGAGACGGAGGCCGGAAGGCGTGCGGGCGCCATGTCCCCGGGACCCGGGGCCCCAGGACCACGTCCTCACGGGCGTCCGGGCGCGGTGCGGATGTCCCGGCGGGCGGCAGGCAGGTCTAGCCTGGCGCAACGCCTCCATGAGCCGGGCCGGCTGGGCGCGGGGCGGGGCGGCCGCTCGTAGGGGTGTGGCCGCGGGCTGTTGTTCTCGGGCGCCGCAGTCGAATATCTGCAAGAGAAAAACAGACGCCATCTTAGAGGCCGCGGCCTACTACGTGCCCGGTGCCCCACGAGGTTACTGACCTTGCCGTACTTGGTGTCCTGCAGGTTATTAATACCCTATCGTGTCCCAGCAATGGGACGACCGAGCCACGCAAGACCGCAATCGCCTTGTCCACCCTCAAAGCTGACCGAGGCTGCCACCCCAGTCCGGGCTCCCCGCCCTCCCCACCACAGCCACCCCAGCAACGCCGGACTACCCCACTGGGCCTCCCGGCCGCCCGCCCCAGACCCACCTCGGTCAGCCGTCTGGCTCGGCGCGCTGCACCCGCTCCTTCCGGCGGGGGGCGAGCCGGGCAGTATCCACCCGGCGCCCGAGCCCTACTCCCCGCCCCCACCCGGGGCCGAAGTCCTCCCCGCCGAGCGGCGCGTCCAGCGGTCAGCGCCAGGGAGGAGGGCGAGCGGAGGAGGCGGCCGCGCGACGCAGCAGCCCTCCCCCTCTCCCCGGGCCGGCCGCCTCCGAGGAGGGGCAGGAACCATGTTGGGAGGCGGCTGGCCCCCTCCCCCCGCCGTCCTCCTAATTTAACTGCACGCTGGCAAAGGCGAAGAATAAACACCCAGAGCCCCGAGGCAGGTGGCGAAGGCGGCCCCGGGTTTCTGTTCCCTCCAGAAAGTCGAGACGCCCGAGCTTTGCACCCATGCTGTCCCCTCCCGCCCTAAGCTTCTATGCACGCCTGGGCCAGGAGAGCGAGGGTGCAAAAGGCGAGCCCCGTCCACCGGGGAGGGATTCCAGGCCTGCAGCCGGGCCCACCAGGCCTGCACCATAGTCTCGGTTAACTGCCTTTAACATGGCGGCCAAGCTCCCTGCCGTCGTCTGGACTACAAGACTAGGACCAAGCCCCCGCCAGGGATGAGGCCCGGGTCGCCTGGAGTGCGCACGGCCCCGCCCGGGCGGCTGTAGCAGGCAGGGCCATGACACAGCAACTCGGGGCCGCTCCCCTCCCCCTAGCCCAGCCTCCAAACTGGATTTTTTGCAGCGGGGCCCCGCGGGTGGGGGGGGGAGGGCAGACACCAGCGCGTAGGAAACACTGCTGGGCCCTCAGAAAGAGAAAGGGCACCCAGACACTGGCTTGTATTCCGGAAAATCACTGCGCCCCAATCTCCCCACCCCCCCATGACTCACAGGGGAGGCTGCTACTGCTACTTAGTAATTTGGAAAAGTAGCTCTTCCCTCTTTTCCGTTCCCTCCCCCGCAGTACACAAGGAGGGAACTGTTCGCGGCTGGGGGAGGGGAGGAAGGCAGAGCAGGCCACCCGAGCAACCCGAAAGCGTTCCAGGGCCCACCTCGCCCTTCCCTCTCCCAGCGCCCACTTGCAGGCCTATACTCAGCTCCTAACACCCAACTTGCAGCCCCCCAGCACTCCCTCTCAGCCCCCCCGACCAGCCTTTCCGCCTCGACGCCCTCCCCACTCTGGGCCGACGGGCGCTCCGCGAAGGCCGCGTCCACGTGAAAGCAAACAATTCGATCAGAGTCAAAGCAGGAGATGCAGCCCGCCGTTTGACCGCGGCGAGCCTCCCACCCCGACACAAAGAGGGGGGCCCCCCGCTCCCCAGAATCCTCGGGGCGCCGGGCATCACCCTCAGCACCTCTGGGCACGTCCCCGGCTGCCCCCGCCCCCGGAAAGATCCCTCCTCACCTGCCTCCCGATTCCCGCACCCTGGGGGACACGCCGCCCCTCACCCCTCCACTGGGTACGAAGCACGAGGTTGGCCTTTCCCCTCCCCCACTCGGGCCCTCCCGCGCTGGTCCCCCGCCACACTCCCATTGGCTGTCAAGTGTTTGAAGGACAAGACTTCCTTCTCGGGATGCTTTCCTGAACCCCAAGAATAGACCCCACTCCCCACCTTTGGCTTACGCATTTAAATGACCTACGGCGTCCCCGCCCCGGGCCCCAGCTCACCTGGATCCCGGGGCCGGACGGGGATGGGGGGGGCCTCCAACGTCGCTCTCCGGTCGGCTCGGGGGGGAGCTTGGAATCTGGGGTGTCAACCCCCCCGGAAGCCGAGGCGGTGTTGGGGGAGGGGGCGTCGCCCCCAGCCCCTCCCTTCCCAAACCGCTGGGGGTGGGGAGACCATCGGGGCCGCGCAGACACGTCAGCAGCACCAGGATTGGCTGCGCCAGGTCACGTGCCCCCTCCCCGGGGCAGGTTTTCCGGCCCTTCTTTAGGGCCGAGTGCGCGGCAGCCGGGGCTGCGGGGCCCGGGTCTTTGGGCCGAGACCCCAGGCCTCGCTCCTACAGCCGCGTCTCCGCGTCCCCGGCCTCCTACGCGGCCGTCGTCCACCCCGTCCCCCCCATTCGCCTCTCGGTACGAGTTCAGCATGGCTGCCGCAGCCCCTGACACGCGCACTGCGCAGGCGCGAGGGTGCTCCTGGCTGGTGGAGGGGGGAGGGGAGCCGGAGGCCACGGGGGGCCTCAGTGCGCAGGCGCAGCGCGCCGCTGACGTCCCGGGCGATCTGAGAGCGCGCGCGATGGGTGGGGCGCGTGCGCGGCCTCGGGCTGGGCGGCCCTTCCCCCACCGCCGTGGCCGGGGTGGGAGTGGGTTCTCCCGGGGTAGCCCGAGGCGGGCTGTCAGTTAGTCGTCTGCTAGGGAGCGGGACGGCTTCCCCCGAGGGGTCGTGGGGTCCGCAGGCCGTGGGCTCTTTATTGACATGTCTGCAATGCTAAGGCTTCTTGTGTCGAACCCCGAATTTGGAGAATTTGGAGACTCGCAGGCGCCTGCGCCCCTGCCTTCTGCAGTTCCCCACTCTGATCTTGTGTCCGCCGTTTAACTCTGAATTCCTGCTGCGAAAGCTCCGCTTTGCTGTGACTCGGAGTCTGGACTTGGTGCACTCGGCAGACATCACCTCCGACCAGGACAGCAAGGCCTTGAGAGCTGCCTTTTCCGGCACACCGCTGGGTGCTGTCTCCCAGTTTTGTTTACTTACTGTTTTTTGTTTTGTTTTTTGAGACAGGGTCTCCCTGTAGCCCCAGCTGGCCTGGAACTCACTGTGTAGACTAGGCTGGTCCTAAACTCACAGAGATGTCTGCTGCTGCATCCAGAGTGCTGGGATTACAGGTCTGCACCACCGATTTGTTTTTGTTTACATACTGGTTTTTTGAGCCGTGGTCTCACTATGTACCCCTGAGTGCCCTGAAACTTACACTACGTAAGACCAGTTTCAGAGATCCTTCTGCTTCTGCCTCCTGAGTGTGGGCAAGTACCACTACACCCAGCAGCGTTAGGGTGTTTTCTCAGTTTAAGGAAATTGCTTGACCTGGTCACCTTCCTCTGTTCCCGAGGCTTTCTTCCATTCTCTGCCCTTTGGAAATTTTTTTTTACTTTTTATATTTTATTACTTTTATTTTATGTGTATGAGTGTATTGCCTGCATGTGTGTAAGTGCACTGATGTCATGCAATGCCTGGTGAGGTCAGGGGTGGGCATTGGATCCCCTGGAACTAAGGATTGCTGTTAGCTGCGGTGTGGGAGCTGGAATCGAACCTGTGTCCTTTTCAAGAGCAGCCAGGGCTCTTAACCACTGAGCCATTTCCCCCTGCCCTTTGGAAATTTTAACTATCCATTCTGGTTTCTTAGCCAAAAAGAAAACCCCTTCAGTATCCTGTCCTGCCAGTCAGCTCCTAGGTCTCAGCCAGGACTAGAAACAGACACTCCCCATCTCCTCCCTCCCCTCCCTCTGCGCCTTCATTTCAACTCTTATCTGTTTGGTTCCCACCACCAGATCAGTTCTGGCCAATGTTACAAGGTCATCCAGTGTTGCAAGGTTGTCCGTCTGCCTTCTGGGGCCTCCCAAGCCTCTCTACTTGGCAGTGGTTACTCCCTGAGTGTCCACTGCCCTTGATTTCTGGGAAAGTTCCACCATTTTTCTGTCAGTCCAGCGGTGGCTGCTCTCCATCGCTCCTTGCTTGTTGGTGTTTCCCAGGACTGGGCTCTCCTTGCTCCATCATTGTCTTAACTTCACTCCTCTTCAGTGGTTCAGCGCCTTTCAAATCTGTATATTTCGTTCTGACTTCTCTTGAGCTAAAGTCCCCACTAAATATCCCTGCTTGGATAACCTCAGACACTGGAACACATTGAGAATTGATGCCTTTGTAACCGGCGTTCAGCCTGCTCTGTGA